CAATCTAATGCAGTAACATTATACTAACTGTGTCTGCTCAGATTAACATTCGCTGTCATTAGCATCCAGTCAAACCAGGCCAAGTGAGGCTTCATAAGAAAACCTGAAAACCTAGAGAATGTGCTTTGTAGGTGTGGTGGAATTAAGGCACGACGGGACCACAGATCCATGTTTTCAGCCATCTTTATTTAACATTTGCATCACACCACCACAACCGCACACCAACCACTGAGTCCCCGTGTTTTAACACGGTGGGCGTGATTGCGGATGCCGTGCAGGTGCGTCCGTGCAGCACCGCAGACCATGCCCCACCACACAAGGTAATAAATTCAGTGCTTCATATATAAAGGAAAATATGCATAGTATGTGTGTGTTGTTGTTGTTGTTTTTAAAGAATTCACTAAATAGCTTGTATTTTATTAAGCTTTCTCCTAGTTTGTGTTAGAGTTTCCCTAAATTGCTAAAACACCAAATTCCACTCTTTGCCATGAGAACCAACATGCTAAACGTACTGAACGTACATTCTTTTAGGACATAATTTGCAGATATTATTTTGCCCTTTTTGCAATACTTTAGATACACTCACATTCATTCAGTTCTCACTGTGATGTATTTGGGTAAGCACAGGTGGCAGATTTCAGTGCTTACACATAACAATGAACCATTTTTCACACTTGCTAATGAAGTGATCAGACCAGTGTACGCCACGTCAGAGCGCACAGGCACCATGGTGAGTTGAAGACCGATACCACAAACAGATAGTAACAAGCTGAGATGTGCAAGAGGAAATGTGTGGGGGGGAGTTGGTGGATGAGGAAGATGGAAAGGCGGCAGAAGGCAAGAAGAGGAAGACCAACAGTGCATTTCAGATAAAATACAAGCAGCTGTGAAAGATCACGTCCTTGGTAAACAGGACAACCCAACATAAAGAAACTCTGTGCTCACGACACTCAGATTGAAAAACTGGGTTTTGTGTTCACAGATTTCAGAACTGAACCTGTGAAAATCTGTAAAAACACTAAAGGTGCATGTCATTAAATAATACAGTCAGTGTTTCTTATAGAAACACGAAAAGACCAGAAGCTAAAATAACAAAACCCACTGACTACAGCAATGTGACTGAAAGAGTACGTCATGGTAGCAAAAGCAGAAGCTGACCACAAGGAACTGGTCCAGTTGTGAGCGGCACACAAACCTGTCCAGAGACTTACGCAATTCCTCTGAGTAACTAAACAAACTGCAATGATGCAGACAGAAACAGAAGGTACGCCGGAAAAGGTGAAGCTCTGGCACAGAAATGAAGAGCTGTGCCTGGTGGTGAAACTGGTGGTTAGTGTCCAGATAACATGACATACCACCTTCATTACAGAGGCCTGCTGCTCTAATAGCGTAATGGGAAAGCTGAGTAGAAAGGCTCACTCTCTACTGCTGTTTGTCAAATGAAAAAGGCAAAGTGTGTAATTATATTTTAACCCTTTAAAACCGGTCGGAGCGGGCACGCTCTGTTTTGCGTAACTATTTTTAAATCCCTGTAGCTCTGCAACCAGGTAAGCTAGCACAATAAATTTTTTTGCATATGAAACCGGAGGAGTTGTACTTACATCTTATGCCACCAGC